ACACACACAGGGTATCAACTGCAACCCCCACTGCACGGCACCTTCCCCCCTCATCCCCAACAGCATAAGGCACAACAGCTGGGCCTCCTCCCCACAGCCTCCTCCTCTGCCCCTCCTCCCTCAAAAGTAGGAACACGGAGCCCTAGAGAAGGAAGCCAACCCCATGAAAACACGTAATGAGCAAAGATAAGACAGGGAAATGGCACAAGAGGGCAGGCCCATGCTCGGTGGTGAACCAGGGGCCAGGTACAAAACCCAAAAAGGCACCAGCCAGGGGCAGCCCCAGCCACTCACACCACCTCACCTTTTCTGCCTGTGCCCTCCCTGCTGAATGATCTCCCTCCACTCCTACTGACCTCAAGGTCTCTTTCAGAGCCTTCAGATGAGATATTTATTTGAGTAGGTTGTTGCAAAAGTAATTGCTGTTTTTGCCATTGAAAGTAATGGCAAAGGCCGGGCATGGTGGCTCATGCCTGTAATCCCAGCACTTTGGGAAGCCGAGGCGGGCAGATCACGAGGTCAGGAGTTCAAGACCAGTCTGGCTAACATGGTGAAACCCTGCCTCTACTAACAATACAAAAAAAATTAGCCGGACATGGTGGCACATCCCTGTAGTCTCAGCCGCTTGGGAAGCTGAGGCAGGAGAATTGCTTGAACCCTGAAGTGGAGGCTGCAGTGAGCTGAGATCACGCCACTGCACTCTAGCCTGGGCCACAGAGTGAGACTGTCTCAGAGAAAAAATAAAAGTAATGGCAAAAACTGCAATTACTTTTTCTTTTTTCTTTTTTTTTTTTTTTGAGACGGAGTCTCAGTCTGTGGCCCAGGCTGGAGTGCAGTGGTGCGATCTCGGCTTACTGCAGCCTCTGCCCCCTAAGTTCAAGCAATTCTGTCCTGCCTCAGCCTCCCGATGGGATTACAGGCACCCACCACTATGCTTGGCTAATTTTTGTATCTTTAGCAGAGATGGGGTTTCACCACGTTTGCCAGCCTGGTCTTGAATTCCTGATCCACCGACCTCGGCTTCCCAAAGTGCTGGGATTACAGGCAGGCATGAGCCACGGTGCCTGACTTTTTTTTTTTTTTTTTGAGATAGAGTCTCACTTTGTCACCCAGGCTGGAGTGCAAAAGCAGGATCTCACTGCAGCCTCCGTCTCCCGTGTTCAAGCGATTCTTCCACCTTAGCCTCCTGAGTAACTGGGATTACAGGCACACGCCACCACGCCTGCCTAATTTTTGTATTTTTGGTAGACAGCTAGCCTCGTCTGTTAGCCATGCTAGCCTCGAACTCCTGACCTCAAGGGATTCGCCCACCTCACCACAGGGTGAGAGTGGGAATGTCTACTTTATTTTATTTTTTGGAGACAGGGTCTCACTCTGTTGCTCAGGCTGCAGTGCAGTGGCGTGATCATGGCTCACTGCAGCCTCAACTTCCCAGGCTCAAGTGGTCCTCCCACCTCAGCCTTCCAAGCAGCTGGGACTATAGGTGCATGCCACCACACCTGGCTAATTTTTGTATTTTTGGTAGAAATGGGGTTTCACCATGTTGCCCAGGCTGGTCTTGAACTCCTGGGTTCAGGTGATCTCACTGCCTTGGGCTCCCAAAGTGCTTGGATTACAGGTGTGAGCCTGTGAGCCACACCTGGCCTTTTTATTTTATTTTATTTTATTTATTTTATTTTATTTTATTTTTTATTTTATTTTATTTTTTTTTTTTTTTTTTTTTTTTTTTTTTTTGATTTTTTTTTTTTTTTTTTTTGAGACGGAGTCTCGCTCTGTCGCCCAGGCTGGAGTGCAGTGGCGCAATCTCGGCTCACTGCAAGCTCCGCCTCCCGGGTTCACGCCATTCTCCTACCTCAGCCTCCCGAGTAGCTGGGACTACAGGCGCCCGCCACCATGCCTGGCTAATTTTTTGTATTTTTTAGTAGAGACGGGGTTTCACCACGTTAGCCAGGATGGTCTCGATCTCCTGACCTCGTGATCCACCCGCCTCGGCCTCCCAAAGTGCTGGGATTACAGGTGTGAGCCACTGTGCCCGACCTATTTTATTTTGTAATTAATTTTTTGTTTTTGTTTTTGTTTTCAGATGGAGTCTCTGTCTCCGAGGCTGGAGTGCAGTGGCACGATCTCGGCTCACTGTAAACTCTGCCTCTCAAGTAGCTGGGATTACAGGCACATGCCACGCCTGGGTAATTTGGTAATTTTTGTATCTTTAGTAGAGACAGGGTTTCCCCATATTGGCCAGCCTGGTCTCAAACTTCTGACCTCCGATGATCCGCCTGCCTCGGTTTCCCAAAGTGCTGGGATTACAGGAATGAGCCACTGTGCCTGGTTGGGCATACATCTTGTTTTTTTCTTTCTGATAACATAGGGATGTTATCAGAAAACATCTAACATCTATAGTCTATGTTATAACATAGATTATAGGGATGTGCCACCATGTCCGGCTAATTTTTTTTATATTGTTAGTAGAGACAGGGTTTCACCATGTTAGCCAGACTGGTCTTGATAACAAGCGATTCTCCTCCCTCAGCCTCCCAAGTAGCTGATACTACAAGCGCCTGCCACCACGCCCGGCTATTTTCTTGGTTTTTTAGTAGAGGTGGGGTTTCACCATGTTAGCCAGTCTCTAACTCCTGACCTCAGGTGATCTGCCTGCCTCGGCCTCCCGAAGTGCTGGAATTACAGGTGTGAGGCACCATGCCCGGCCTGAGTGGTGGGAGGTGTCTATTTTAGACTGAGCAGTCAAGAAAAGCTTCTCTGAAGAGGTGATGTTTGGGCCAGGCCTTCGCAAACGATTAGAAGGTGTCAGCCATGGGGAGATGTGGAGGGAGGGTGTTCCAGGCCAAGGAAGGGTAAGATAAAATAATTCAGCCGGGCACGGTGGCTCAAGCCTGTAATCCCAGCACTTTGGAAGGCCAAGATGGGCGGATCACGAGGTCAGGAGATCGAGACCATCCTGGCTAACCCGGTGAAACCCCGTCTCTACTAAAAAATACAAAAAACTAGCCGGGCGATGTGGCGGGCGCCTGTAGTCCCAGCTACTCCGGAGGCTGAGGCAGGAGAATGGCGTAAACCCGGGAGGCGGAGCTTGCAGTGAGCTGAGATCTGGCCACTGCACTCCAGCTTGGGCGACAGAGCGAGACTCCGTCTCAAAAAAAACAAACAAAAAAAGATAAAATAATTCAGGGATCTGAGGGCAGAGGAATCTGGACTCCAGTTCTCCATTCAGGGCTGCCCAGGGGAGATAAAGAGGATCTCATAAGGGTGTGTGGCTTTGTGGCTCACTCATGCCCACATAGGGACCATGCCTACCCTACCCACCCTTTTTTTTTTTTTTTTTTTCCCTGAGTCTCCTTCTATTACTCAGGCTGGAGCACAGTGGTACAATCACGGTTCACTGCAGTCTTGACCTCCAGGGGCTCAAGCAATCCTCCCACCTCAGTGTCCCGAGTAGCTGGCAGTACAGGTGTGCACCATCACCCTTGGCTCATTTTTCGATTTTTTTGGTAGACATGGGGTTTCACTATGTTACCCAGGCTGGTCTCGAACTCTTGGGCTCAAGTGATTCTCCCACCTTGGCCGTCTGAAGTGTTGGGATTACAGGCATGAGCCACCACACCCAGCCCACCACCCAGTCTTGACTCTCCCTCCTCCCTCCCTCCCAGTGAGTGCTGGTGGCCTGTGTGTCACACCTGCTGAAGGCTGCCTCTGACTTGTGGCTTTTGACTTCAGGCCTGGGAGACACCCTTTGGCTGGGTTAGGGAGATCTTGAAAGGGGGTAGGGGACACAGCAGGGGGTAAGGAGAGTGACACACTGCAGGCATGGGTTGGGTGACAGATGAAGGATCCATTGGTATATGCTGCCAGTGTGTGCCATCTACTTGTGTGTTTTACGTGTGTCTTGTGCATGTGTCCTGTGCGGGCTGTATCTGTGACTCAGCTACGTGTCAGCACATCCCTGTCGATGTGTGTCTGCTGATATGTCCATCAGCATGCACGGCTGTCTTGTATGCGTCTTTTTTGAGACGGAGTTTTGCTCTGTCACCCAGGCTGGAGTGCAGTGGCACCATCTCAGCTCGTTGCAACCTCTACCTCCCGGGTTCAAGCGATTCTCCTGCCTGAGCCTCCCAAGTAGCTCGGATTACAGGCCCATGCCACCACACCTGGCTAATTTTTGTATATTTAGTAGAGACGGGGCTGGGCGCGGTGGCTCAAGCCTGTAATCCCAGCACTTTGGGAGGCCGAGACGGGCGGATCACGAGGTCAGGAGATCGAGACCATCCTGGCTAACACGGTGAAACCCCATCTCTACTAAAAAAATACAAAAAACTAGCCAGGCGTGGTGGCGGCGCCTGTAGTCCCAGCTACTCGGGAGGCTGAGGCAGGAGAATGGCGTAAACCCGGGAGGCGGAGCTTGCAGTGAGCTGAGATCCGGCCACTGCACTCCAGCCTGGGCGACAGAGCTAGACTCCGTCTCAAAAAAAAAAAAAAAAAAAAAAAATAGTAGAGACGGGGTTTCACCATGTTGGCCAGGCTGGTCTCAAACTCCGGATCCACCTGCATCAGCCTCCCAAAGTGCTGGGATTACAGGAATGAGCCACTGCGCCCAGCCAGACATGTGTCTTTTTTTTTCCTTCTGTAGATAACAGGGTCTCACTATGTTGCCAAGGCTGGTCTCAAACTCTTGGCCTCAAGCAATCCTCCTGCCTCAGCGTCCTAAAGTGTTGGGATTACAGGCGTGAGCCACTGAACCCGGCTTGTGTGTGTTTTTCTGTGTCTGTTGTGTGTGTCTGTGGGTAGTGGCTGTTTCCATGCATGGGATATTGTGGTAAATGTGGCTAATTCCCTGTGTAGGGGCTGCTGCTTGTGGATAAGACTGTGTCTCTGTGCATGTACATGTGTGCGCATGCCCCTCACAACCCCAACGAGAAAACACCTGTCCACCTTCCCGGGCTGGCAGAGGGGCACAGGAGATGGGATCTCAAATCACAGGCTTTTTCTCTCCGAGTATCTCCGTACTTTATTGTCCCTGCTGTAACAATGCTCATCCTTCCTGAGGGCGTCTCCTGAGGGGGCCTCAGCCAAGGCTGCCTGGAGAAGGAGCCAGGGACCCCTAGCAGGCTCTGCCACCTGAGGCCTGGGTCTTCCCCTGGGATCCTTGAATCTGGAGACGGCAGAGAGGAGGCAAGCTGGCTCTTTCCCTGATCCTCCTAGGAGAGCTGCTTCTGCCCATTCTCCCGCTGGTGAAACGGAGGCAGAAGCGGTTCAGCAGGGTGAAGGTGGGTTTAACCTTCCTGAATGGGGTCCAGGGACACTCCACATCTGCCACATAGCCTCTTGGGCTGGACATTTTTCCTGGGCACCAGCCAGCAGCTGGAGCAGCGAGTGCCATATTTCTTGTACCTAGGGTTGGGGGACAAGAAACTGCCATTTAGGATGCAGTGGGGGCCCAGAAACTGCCACAAGGAAACCACTTTTCCCAAGAGGTAGGTGTTTTGCTTTTTGCTTTCCCCATACGCCACGCTGGTTACACCTGGACTGATTTGGGGACCCCCCACCTCAATTCCCTCCTCCATTCTAAGGACCTGATCCCACAGGCATTGCAGAGAGGGGTCCCATCTTCAGCGTCTCTCCAGAGCGGGGTCCTCTGGGTCTGACAGGAAGCACAGCGCCGGGGCTCTGAAGGGTCAGAGGTCAAAGGGCAGGGGTCAGAAGCCACGCAGATGAGCTCAGGATGCCTGTGCGGGGTCAGGCATTTTGTGGGGGTCTCAGTAAAGGCCCCACCTGGCTCTGGACCAGCCCTGGGAGTTGCCAGCTCTAAGCCACAGCAAAGCCAGGAAGGGAGACAGATGGCAGCATTCGGCAGAGGAGGAAGCTGGGGGTGGGGGTGACTCAGCCCAAGTGGAGGGGGGTGGTGCAACTCCTCCCAGAGGGTCTAAATGGGGAAGCAAGATGGAGAAGGGGGGGGCAGGGCGAAAGGCAGGGAAGACAGGAAATTGGCCCCCAAAATATTTATAGCTCTCAGGTTTTCAGGACTCACCCAGGGCCTCGCTGCCTGCTGAGTGGGCCTCAGTGCCTCTTGGGTGGGCTGCAGGGCCCCCAACAGCATCTGCAGGGGATTCCTGAGAGCGGCTACTACAGGGCCGGCTGTGGGGCAGACAAGGTATTAGCATCGGAGGGGATCCGTAGCTTGTCCCCAATAGCCCCCCAAAATGAAGATTTAGTATCAAGGTATCAGGCATCCCCCAAGGAGGCAACTGATATCTGAATGGCCTGGCTTTGCCTCTCATTAGTAATAATAATAATATTATTATTATTTTTGCAGATGGAGTTTTGCTCTGTCGCACAGGCTGGAGTATAGTGGTGCCATCTCAGCTCACTGCAACCTCTGCCTCCTGGATTCAAGCAATTCTTGTGCCGCAGCCTCCCGAGCAGCTGGGACTACAGGCGCGCAATACCACGCCCAGCTAATTTTTATATTTTTATAGAGATGGCGGTTTTACCATGTTGGTCAGGCTGGTCTCGAACTCCTGACCTCAAGTGATCCACCTGCCTTGGCCTCCCAAAATGCAGGGATTACAGGTATGAGCTACCGTGCCTGACTTAATTATTATTATCATTATTATTATTATTATTTTTTGGGGATGGAGTCTCGCTGTGTCGCCCAGGCTAGAGTGCAGTGGCGCAATCTCAGCTCACTGCAAGCTCCGCCTCCCAGGTTCACGCCATTCTCCTGCCTCAGCCTCCCGAGTAGCTGGGACTACAGGTGCCCGCTGTCACGCCCAGCTAATTTTTTTGTATTTTTAGTAGAGACAGGGTTTCACCATGTTAGCCAGGATGGTCTCAATCTCCTGACCTCGTGATCCACCCGCCTCGGCCTCCCAAAGTGCTGGGATTACAGGTGTGAGCCACTGCGCCTGGCTAATTATTATTATTTGAAAAATAGTAAGCACAGGGACAGCCTGCCAGGTTCCAATCCCAGTTCTCCATGTCCTTGCTGTATGAGCCTGGACACATTATCTCCTACTCTGTGCCTCAGTTTCCTCATCTGTAAAATGGGCTTCCCAACACAACAGTTTTTTTTCTTTGAAAATTTTATTTATTGATTTTTTAAAAAGAGATGGGAATCTGGGTAATATAGGGAGATCCCGTCTCTAGAAACATAAAAGAATTAGCACAGGAGTGGTGGTGCAGGCCTATGCTCCCACCTACTTGGGAGACTGAGGAGGAAGGATAGCTTGGGCCTGGGAGGTCGAGGCTGCAGTGAGCCATGATTGCGCCACTGCACTCCAGCCTGGGTGACAGAGTAAGACCCTGTCTCAAAAAAAAAAAAAAAAAAAAAAAAAGGTGGGCAGGCATGGTGGCTCACGCCTGTAATCCCGACACTTTGGGAGGCCAAGGTAGGTGGATCACCTGAGGTCAAGAGATTGAGGCCATCCTGGCCAACATGGTGAAATCTCATCTCTACTAAAAATACAAAAATTAGCCAGGCTGGTAGTGGGCACCTGTAATCCCAGCTACTCCAGAGGCTGAGGCAGGAGAGTCGTTTGAATCAAGGAGGCAGAGGTTGCAGTGAGCCGAGATCATGTCATTGCACTCCAGCCTGAATGACAGAGTGCGACTCCATCTCAAAAAAAAAAAAAAAATTATTGTTTTGGCGGCATAAGTTATAATTATAATTTTTATAATAACAATAAATAAGTAAAAATTAGAGATGGGGGTCTTACTATGTTGCCCAGGCTGGTCTTGAACTCCTGGGCTCATGCAATCCTTGCCCCCTGGCCTCCCAAAGGGCTGGGATTACAGACGTGAGCCACCAGGCCCAGCCTCCCAAAGCTTTTTTTTTTTTTTTTTTTTTTTAAAGGGGTCGAAGTCTTGCTCTGTCGCCCAGGCTGGAGTGTAGTGGTGCCGTCTCTGCTCACTGCAACCTCCACCTCCTGGGTTCAAGTGATTCTCCTGCCTCAGCCTTCCAAGTAGCTGGGATCAAGTAACTGGGATTATAGGTGCCCGTCACCATTCATGGCTTTTTTTTTTTTTGAGACTGGGTCCTGCTCTATGGCCCAGGCTGGAGTGCAGTGGCGCTATCTCAGCTTAGCTTACTGAAGCTTTTGCCTCCTGAGTTCAAGTGATTCTCCTGCCACAGCCTCCCGAGTAGCTGGGATTACAAGCACCTGCTACAATGCCCAGCTAATTTTTTGTATTTTTAGTAGAGATAGGGTTTCACTATGTTGGCTAGACTAATCTTTTTTTTTTTTTTTGAGATGGAGTCTCACTCTGTCCCCTAGGCTAGAGTGCAGTGGCACGATCTTGGTTCACTGCAACCTCTGCCTCCCCGGTTCAAGCAATTCTCCTACCTCAGACTCCTGAGTAGCTGGGATTACAGGCGCTTGCCACCCGGCCCAGCTAATTTTTGTATTTTTAGTAGAGATGGGATTTCACCATGTTGGTCAGGCTGGTCTCGAACCCCAGACCTCGTGATCCACCCACCTCAGCCTCCCAAAGTACTGGGATTACAGGCGTGAGCCACCACGCACGGCCTGGCCAGGCCTTGAACTCCTGTCTTCAGGTGATCCGCCTGCCTTGGCCTCCCAAAGTGGTGGGATTATAGGCATGAGCCACTGTGCCTGGCCTCCCTAGGCTTTTGAATGAGCCCATATACATCAAATACTGCCTGTTAACCTCTTATTGTTATCGCTACCAACAAATAGTAGCTGTTCACATTATTGGGAAAAATCACTGCAGCCGCAGCTGCAGCCTAAACTGCAGCCTAAGCAGGGCCAGGCCTGATTCATAAAGAGACCAGGTCTCACACTGGGAGTGGGGAGCGACTGAGTCAGGAGGGGCAGGACTGGATCTGGCACCAGCTCAAGTTGTCAACCAGAGACTGGGCCCCGTGTAACCTAGGGCACGTGTGAGGGTCCACACTGACACCAGGGAGCACCCCTACCTCCCACACTGGTGTTTGTGTTGTTACTGGGAGAAAGGGTGCCCTGGCCCGAGCCGGCCCCTACCTGTACGTGGGGATGATCTGCAGGCTGGAGTCTGGCTTTATCTGAAACGTCAGAGTCACCCCCTCGAACCCAGGGTCCACTTCCTCAGTGCCCCGGCAGGGGTTCGGCTGTTTCCGGGGCCTTCTCTGGGGTGGGGCAGGGGGAGTCCCCGGGGGCTGCAGGCGGCGGTCCTTTTGGCTGATCCGGGTCTGTGTGTCCTTGGAATCCCTGTCCAGCAGCAGGAGGCCCTGAGTCCCCAGAGCCATCGGGTCCCAGCAAGGCCCCAGGACCGGGGTGTCCTGGGTAGGGGACTGACCCAGCCTCTCCACTGTCTCTTGGAGGAAGCGCAGGGCGGTGACAGAGTCCTGGCATGCAGGCCAGAGGGACCTGGGGAGAAGGGCAGTGGGGTCACTTTTTCTTGGGTGACTCCTGGGTTTAGCCGGCCAGGGGGTTCCAACTTGGGCCGGCTCTTTGTGTACCCTGGGGCAGCTACACACTCCACCTGAGGTTCAGTCATTTCTAACTCCGGGTGGGAGGTTTAAGAGTTGCAAAGTAATTGCAGCTCACCTCGCCCAGCGTGGGCCTCCCAGGCACACTCTCAGCCCTCCACATCAATCAACCCTTTACGGCACCCGTAGATCACCCAGGCAGGGACCGCCCTAGGTGACCGAGGCAGGATTTCAAGCCTCTGGCTGCAGGATCGAGAAAAAGGTTACTTTTTTTCTTTGTGTTTCTTTTAGAGACCGAGCCTCACTCTATACCCCCGCCTGGAGTGCAGGGGCGTGATTAGGACTCAGTGCAGCCTAGAACTCCTGGGCTCCAGCGATCCTTCCGCCTCAGCCTCCCGAGTAGCTGGGACTTACAGGCGCGCGCCACCACGCCGCTGGCTTGCCATAATATGATTACGATTTTTATCATTTTCATTGTTATTGAGTTGCCCTCCCTAACCTCTGGATGATCCCTGGGGAGTGCCTACATCAGCCCCAGAGACATGGAATTGCATGGCCTCTGATCCCTAGATGACCCCAAGTGTCTCTGGGGACCAGAACCTCTTTGTAAGTTTCAGTAACTATTATAAAATTGCCACTTCTCGATAACCCCAGGAACGAGAGGTCACGACCCCCTGATCACTGAACCAGCTGGTGAAGTGCTAGCGGGGTCTGGGGAAGGGGTTTGGCCTTACGCACCTCCCACTGATTCTGCAGCATCCTGGGGTCCTCGGCTTCTCCTGGGAGGGGGATCCTCCCAGCGGCTCCAGGTCCAGACAGGGAGGCGCCAGCAGCTTTGCTGGCATCGAGGAGTCCGGGGCTGGCTCAGCCTCCATTGCGCCCCAGCCCAGCCCCCTCCCTAATTTCACCCGGCCCTGTCCCGCTGGGCCCACACGATGAAACCCACCTGGGGGGGGCGGGACCTGTGGGGTGGGAGCGCTCCTGGCCAAGGATGCGATGAGCCTCAGCTGAGAGCGACCAGCCTCGGAGGCGCCTTTCCTCTTTCTGGCTTTTTTCAGGTCATCTGCGCACCCCTGCGTGCCAAGGGCGGCCTGGACCCCACCAAATCCTTCCGCAGCTGCGGGGCGGGGCCTTCCATGCTGGCCCTACCCCTCGGAAATGGGGGCTCCCAGGCCTCTGCTTCGGATCCCCAGCGGGATCTTAGATCCCAGAGGAAGAAGAGAGTCGGGGGCCCAGCACAGCAGATGCAGGTTTTCGGTTTTGTTTTTTTTTTTGAGACAGGGCCTCATTCTATCACCCCGGCTGGAGTGGAATGGCCTGATCACCGTTCCACTGCAGCCTAAATCTCCTGGGCTCAAGTGATCCTCCCACCTCAGTCTCCCGAGTAGCTGGGACCACAGGCACTTACCACCACTCTACGCTAATTTTTACTGTTTTATAGAGAAAAGGTCTCGCCATGTTGCCCAGGATGGTCTTAAGCTCCTGGCCTCAAGTGATTCTCCCATCTTGGCCTCCCAAAGTGCTGGGATTACAGGTGTGAGCCACGCGTAGACCCCAGATCTGTCCCCCAAGGACACTCAACATGCTGGAGCCTGTGATACTGATTTATTGCAGCTCCGATCTGAGTCCACTCCTACTCACACCGATTCTCAGGGGCTTGGGGAAGGCCACCCCACTAGGGGCCTGGTCCCTGCCTGAGCCTGGACACGGGAATCTCTCCCAAACAGGGGTGTTGTCATTCGCAGGGGCTTCCACGTCTCTCCCGGGCCTGTCCGCTCCCTGGGCAGGGCTGGCACTTGGCTATTCCCTCAGTCTGGGCCCTGGGGTCATGGCAATGTTTAACAGTCCAGGTGTCCACATCAGTGGGGCTTGGGGACGTGGCCGTCCACGTAGAAGTTCCTGGTGATCTTGGGCAGGGTGAATTCCGCTCCTTCCAGCTCCGGCGTCAGCACGATCTGGCAGCCCAGCCGCGAGTTCTCCTGGAGGAGGGGGGCCATGTCTAGCATGTCGTCTTCCCTGGGGTGGTGACACGGGCGGGCAGTGTTAGCCAAGGGCAGGCTAGCTGGGTGGGTGAGGGGCCAGAGGCAGGGGAGGGGGGAAGCTGACTGAGCACAGGGGGTAGTGTAGGGGGAGGCAGCTCCCCTTCCAGGAACTGGAAGTGGGGAGGATGGTGGGGGCTGTTCAGTGCTTCAGGGTGAAGCTCCCAGCTAGGCAGGGCTACCCCACTCACCTCTCCTCGGGCGGAGGCAGGAGATCCAGGTGGTCTTCACTCACGTACACATGGCAGGTGGAGCAGGCCAGGGAGGCTTCACAGGCCCCTAGGGGCGGGAAGTGAAGTGGGCGCAGGTGAGTGGCAGAGTCAGGAAGGGGCCGCTCTGCGAAGGGCGTAGAAGAGTAGATCTCTCTTCCACCACGTGTCTCACGTCTCCCTCCCGGGCCTGCAGCCCCACTGTGTGCACCAGGCACTGCGTCATGTCCTCAGTGTCCTTAGCTGGCTGTTCCCCAGTGTGTAGGGTTTACAAAGGGACATCCGGGAGGCCCCATTTCCCAGGGACTCCCCAGCAGGCTGAGATGCAGAACCATTAAAGGGCATGGATGAGGTTGCCAGGTAGCTAAGAGGGGAAAGTCCAGGCAGGCTCCCTGCAGCCTGTGAGCCCTTGCTGTGACCCTATCACGGTGCTGGGCAAATGTGTCCCCACCTCTCCACTGCTCTTGGAGGATGGACCAGCTGACTCAGCAGTCAGTGTGGTGGGGGAAGGAAAGAGGGATTAGATTTTTTTTTTTGAGACAGGGTCTCACTCTGTTGTCCGGCCTGGAGTGCCGTGGCTCAGTCATAGCTTACTGCCTCAAACTCCTGACTTAAGTGATACTCCCACCCAAGCCTCCCAAGTAGCTGGGACTACAGGTGCACACCACCACACCTGGCTAATTTTTTTTTGCTTTTCTTTTTGTGTTTTTTTGAGGCGGAGTTTCACTCTCCTTGCCCAGGCTAGAGTGCAATGGTGTTATCTCGGCTCACTGCAACCTCTGCCTCCCAGGTTCAAGCAATTCTCCTGCCTCAGCCTCCTGAGTAGCTGAGATTACAGGCACGCGCCACCATGCCCGGCTAACTTTTGTATTTTTAGTAGAGACAGGGGTTCACCATGTTGGCCAGGATAGTCTCAATCTATTGACCTTCTGATCCACCTGCCTTGGCCTCCCAGAGTGCTGAGATTACACGTGTGAGCCACCATGCCCGACCATTCTTTTGTTTTCCTTTATAATTTTTTTTTTTTTTTTTTAGTAGAGACGAGGTTTCACTATGTTAGCCAGGATGGTCTCGATCTCCTGACCTCGTGATCTGCCCGCCTCAGCCTCCCAAAGTGCTGGGATTACAGGCGGGAGCCACTGCGCCCGGCCTGTAATTTTTTTTTAGAGATGGAGTCCTGCCCTGTTGCCCAGGCTGAAGTGCAGTAGCATGATCTCGGCTCACTGCAAGCTCTGCCTCCCAGATTCACGCCATTCTCCTGCCTCAGCCTCCCAGAGTAGCTGGGAATACAGGCGGCTGCCACCATGCCTGGCTAATTTTTTGTATTTTTAGTAGAGACGGTGTTTCACCCTGTTAGCTAGGATGGTCTCGATCTCCTGACGTCGTGATCCGCTCGCCTCGGCCTCCCAAAGTGCTGGGATTACAGGCGTGAGCCACCACAGCTTGCCAGGCCACTGACCTCTACTGGCCCAGCACAGTGGCTCATGTCTGTAATCCCAGCACTTTGGGAGGCCGAGGCAGGCAGATCAACTGTGGTCAGGAGTTTGAGACCACCCTGCCCAACATGGTGAAACCTCATCTTTATGAAAAATACAAAAATTTAGCTGGGCATGGTGGTGGGCGCCTGTAATCCCAGCTACTCGGGAGGCTAAGGCAGGAGAATCACTTGAACCCCGGAGGCAGAGGTTGCAGTAAGCCAAGATCACGCCATTGCACTCCAGCCTGGGTGACAGAGCGAGACTCGGTCTCAAATAAATAAATAAATAAACAAATCAGGCTGGGCGCGGTGGCTCAAGCCTGTAATCCCAGCACTTTGGGAGGCCGAGATGGGCGGATCACGAGGTCAGGAGATCGAGACCATCCTGGCTAACACGGTGAAACCCCGTCTCTACTAAAAAAAATACAAAAAAACTAGCCAGGCGTGGTGGCGGGTGCCTGTAGTCCCAGCTACTTGGGAGGCTGAGGCAGGAGAATGGCATAAATCCAGGAGGCGGAGCTTGCAGTGAACTGAGATCTGGCCACTGTACTCCAGCCTGGGCGACAGAGCAAGACTCCGTCTCACAAAAAAAAAAAAAAAAAAACAAATCTATTTCACATTCCGATCTCTGTCCTAGACTACTAGCTGCTGGATTCCAGAACAGAACTTTACGTAGGCCTTTCATAACCCCTCCCAACATATCTTCCCCTTTAATGATAAAATCAGGATCCCTGATATATTCATTCCAAAAGCAAACCCTGTATATTTTCTTCCAGACAACCCTTCCCAAGTTGCTCAAGACATAATTATATATTTACCTGTGGGATTATTGTCCCTATTAGGTGTGAAATGACAGAGGCCTATGTGTTTTGTATATTGCTGCCTGACGAGCAGTAGGTATTCATAAAAAGGCAACACAGATTAGTGGCTAAAATGGACTGGTGAGTCTAGTATTGTCACTCACTTGACCTTAGACCAGGTCTACTTAACCTGGGGTTTAGTTTCCTCATCTATAATATGGAATAACAGTCTCTACTACTCAAGTTGTCATGAAGATTCAGTCACTGAATATGTATTAACATAGTTAAAGACATATATATATATATATATATATTTTTTTTTTTTTTTTTCTTTTGAGACAGTCTCGCTCTGCCATCCAGCCCGGAGTACAGTGGTGCCATCTTGGCTCACTGCAACCTCTGCCTCCCAAGTTCAAGTTATTCTTGTTCCTCAGCCTCCCAAGTAGCTGGGATTATATGCATGTGCCACCACACCCCGCTAATTTTTGTGTTTCTTGTAGAGACAAGGTTTCACCATGTTGGCCAGGCTGGTCTCAAACTCCT